GCAGTTCTAAAGGTACTTGAGAGCCGCTCTGAGGTCGGGGAGGCCACGCTTGATGACCCTTCAAGCCCAAGTTCAGATGGAGCGAGAGCCTGCTGTCCACGGGGCGGGCCGGGGAAACGCGGTCAGGACAAGTAAGCTTAATGCCCCCGTGTTCCCTAGGCAGCAGCTGCATATGCCTCCGAGTCTCGATTTTCCCATCTGCTCAATGGGCGCATTGATAACCTGTGTGTTCTCTCTCTCAGCTTGTAGTGAGTCTCCGAGGAGATCGGTAGGAAGAGTGAGTGCTTTGCGATCTATAGGATGGGGGTTGTGTTTTAGGGAGAGAGAAAGCGGTCCCAGTCCTAAGGCAAATCAAGGGACCTGCAGTGATGGCGAACCTTCTGAGCTTGGCGTGTCAGCATTTTGAAAAACCCTAACTTAACTCTGGTGCCTTGTCACATATAGACATTGTTTGATATTTGCAACCATAGTAAAACAAAGACTTATATTTTTGATATTTATTTTACGTATTTAAATGCCATTTAACAAAGAAAATCAACCCAAAAAATGAGTTCGCGTGTCACCTCTGACAGGCGTGTCATAGGTTCGCCATCACTGGACTAGAGGCCTCTCTGACCACACACCCTCCCCCACTGAGCATCATCCCCCGACAGTGACGACCCTGACGCAGCCCGGGGGTTACTAAAGTGACCCTGACGCAGCCCAGCACCCCACGGTCCAGCCGCAGGGGACTGTGCCGTCGCAGATACACCGTCCAGGGTGTTCCCTGAAGGAGATCAGACGCCAGGTTCTGGAACTTATTAAGATCCTGTTTCCCACCCACGCCCCTCACGCTGCAGTGGCCCTGCCCCGCCCCCAGCTTCTCTCCCTTCTCCATCTCCCAGGGTCTGTAGCTCAGTGGAACCTTCCTCCTGTGGGGACAGTGGCCCTGCTGGCAGCGATGGGCTTCCCGGGGACAGCTGGTAGCAGGGGAAGCTCCCGAGTTAGTATTTATGATTCCGTGGAAACGGTTCCATCTGATGGTGTCCTCGAAGCTCTCCAGGGCCCACATTTAAGCGCTTGTGCACATGTTGAAACAATGCCTTTGGGGATTGCTTTTTCTCTCCTAGATCTCCCTTTCAGCTCACTTCCTGCTTGCTTTCCCTCGGGGTGAAAATGTGAGTCCAGTCTTTCCAGAACATAAACCCACAGCCTCTCGGAGCTGAAAAAGAGGCTCCCATGCCTCTGCCTCCTGAGATCTGGGGGAAATGGGCTCACTTGGTGTGCAACAGGGAGGAGAGAGTGCAAGACAGCCTCCGTCAGCAGCCCCGGGAACGGGCACGCTGATTAAATCCGCCTGAGGCTAAGTCATGCCCCGAAGACACATCCTTCATGCCCCCTCCTCAACCAGCTCCTGGTTGTCAGATGCAAGTACCCACCTCCCCCCGCCCCCCAGCACCACCACCCGCCCCTGGTGCAGGGCTGTCGGGCACATGTGCCCTCGGGTGGACGTCTTGAGACAATGCCCCTTAAAAACTGTACCCCATGTTCTGGGCTGTGCTCTGGGCTGTGCTCTGGGCTATGCTCTGGGGCTGGACCTGGTGGTGGTCACGTGTGCAAACAAATGTGGACATTCACGAAGGTGGAAAGTGAAGTGGGGAGACATGTGGGGAATGAGCAAGGTTCCCTGTCTGGGGGTTCCAAATCTGCTGTTGGTTTCTTTCACCACTGACTAGAGATATACAGGGTGTCCCCCCAAAATG